TGCCAGAGATATTTACTAGTTTATCCGACTTTATGACATCGTTTGCTGAAACTGTAGGTCTGAAAAAGTAGATGGGTACTAAGGCAGGTGAATTTTATGAACTGTAATCTACGAGCATTAAACCAAACATAAACTTACTTCCTCCCTGTAACTCCACATAAAGCAGAGATGCCTGGCTTGGTTTCAGTAAAACCTCTTTCCTTTATTATACGATTAAATTTTTCTACAGTGTTATCTTTCTCAGAATGGCGATGCGTCTTGGGGTGACAAAGAGGCTCAATGTAGGAGTTGGTGCTAGTAGTGTCCCTTAGGTGATGATTGTCGAGTTAATCTGACATCTGACGGTTGGAAAAGGAAAGTTGAGTTTGTAGGTCCCCAAGGTGCATCGAAACATTGTAAAAACTTGTTTGGTAACGTGTGTGGTGTTATCACAGTTAGACGAGTTCGGTTGCCGATGCAAGGGCACCAGGACCTTCTGAAGCCGCCACCTACTAACCGTTAACAAGTAGTACATTTCATCCATTCTGACTCGTTTTAACTTCCCCAGAGTTATGGTCACTAAAACAGGATAACGTATCTCCAAAGACAGGTGAATTATGTGTCACGGAAACTAGAAGGGCTTTTTTGACATAAAGCCTATATATCTCTTGCAGAAGTGACAGACACAATCAGGCAAGAAAGTAGATCTCACTTTTTGACTTGTAAATAAAGATGAATGAAGTAAGTTAGGACATAAGAAAGTTACCCAATGATGCCATTTATCATAGTCTTGTTTTTTGGAACAGTAATTTGTGGCATAAGTCAGACAATTGCTAATTGTTCCTTAGAACGAGGAATGGAAAGTTAGAGCACAAGCAATTCCTCCTCTAAATGCTGCAGAGAGGATTTCTACACTAAACTACTTTTTGTTTACACTTGGGGATCTTAACTTTGTTAAGCATTTGAAGGAGGAAGGGTATGATCCACTTTTGTCGGAGGTTGTTAGACCGTAAACAACTAGACAGCCTCAGTTCAACTCCCCTCTAAGGGGGCTACCTGTCGCTAATTTTTAAATCTCCCCAAAGGACAGTGGTGCTTATAAGAATAGACTTAGAGACGTACTTGGCAATAGGCTTTTCAAAACTCCCATGATACAAAAAAAATAAATCCATCACGTGAACCTACTTATGGGCAGGCCAGTGGCTTTGAGAGGCAAGTTATGGCACTCGAAAAGGCCGACGGTTAGTCGATCAGCGGACGGGAAGTAGGTGAGAGAGACCACGAGCAGGATGTTTCCCGGGGACTAAAATTTTCACGAATACAAATGAATAGTTGTGCGGGACACTTGATTGGAGATGTGGGAGGAGGATTTGAGGTGTCAAACTGTTTCAAATGCATGTCATCTCCTCACCCATATGGGAAGGAGCATTGGAAAATGAAGTCGTCAAGCATGAGATTGTGGTGGTCACCGAAGAGCATCATCAGCTCTGATTTGGCAAGAACGTGGACAAACTTTAATATTCCAAAGCATTTTTTAAAACAGTAAAAAATGGGTTGATTGACCATAGAAGTTCATTGCATTAGTTAGCGAAGCACGAACCATTAGGGCAAAACGTTTCTTTATGGCAAACGCTAATCGGATTTATATTTTGTACAAAATGGAAGAAACTTCTATTTTTCTTTAGTTTTAGTTTGACGGGGACCGAATGAACTTATGTTTGCTCACGATGCTGACATGGCATAACTGATTCCTTGACTCAAATACCTTTGAGCAATTAAATTACCTTGTTTCAACTGTTGTTTTACAAAACGTCACGACGGAAACTCACACTGGAGCCGTCATCCAGCTGAAGGTCTCTTGCCACTCGAATTGGCCGCCATTCGGACTCGGTTTGGGCAAGAATGGTCAGCGGAAAGGTAATAAAGCCAATTAGAAGAGTGCGCTTTGTCTTCTCAATGGAGAGAACATCCAGACGGATGTTTTGATTAGAGAGCTCGCGTTTGGGCAACTGCAAAAACAGATGGAATTCGTAAGAGGGTGACATAAGGGGGTCCACTCAGTGAATTAGGACCTCGGCTAGCACTTCCAAATCAACGCTTCCTCTGGTCTTGTCGCCGAGGTCAAAATCACTGAAAATGGAAACTTTGGCAATTCCACTCAACACGCAAGTACGCCTTTGTGCATTAAAAGTCTCCATCGTCAGGCCGCAATCGCGTCAGCTGCATAGCAGGTCATGGAAACAGACTTATAACGTGGATCGTCAAAAGTTTAGCAGGTGCATGGATGCCTGAGCTGTTGCAATTTTACAAAATCTACAAAGTGTTAGATTTTGTGTCCCATAAACGAATTGACAGCTTTAGTTTTTCAAACATTTTGATATTACCTAACCAGGCATAAGGAAACTCTGACACCAAAACCAACAAGTCCTTAAAAGCCGAAATGCACGATTTGAGACGATCATCAGTTTTTTCTGTCATCTATTTGTTTACCAATAATGCCAACAGAGTAT